CAGAAAAAAAAAATCTTGGACTAGGTAGGGTAATGCTGAATGAAGGTTATTTTGAGTTTAGAAAATGATATTTGAGATGCTGAAAAATTCCAAGTCATTATGTCATGAAACTAGATACCCTGTTTTAAAATAACCTTTCACAAATACATTCTACTTTCAGTTTCCTGATGTTTGGGTCATAGTTAGAATCCCGTTATCATCCAAGCCTTACATTTTGTCACAAAAAAATCAACTGTGGTGTTTCAGCAACAGTTTTGCATTACCTAAGCATATAAGCACTGAGATAATTACTCAGCATAGTCGTCTCCTCCCAGAAAGAAGAGCTGTTCTGCTGAAAGTGAAAACAGCAGAGACCTTTTGGATGTAAAACTTGTGCCCAGGCAAACGACCAGAATGTCTGAAGGAGGAGCTCAACACGAAACCTGGTCCCTGTAGAGCTGCGTTTCTGTGGAAAGAGAAGTGCCGCGCTCGGCCGGAGACACGAGGGACAGCGGGGAGAACTAGCGAGGGGGCCTCGGAGCCCTCCAGGTGCAAACTGCCTATTGCCCTCATCCTGGTAAAGCCTTTATTTTCATGTCTTATTAATAGTTCCAAAAGGGGAAGTACCTTGGAAACAAAGCCACCTCTCCTGGCAGCCTGTTAAATCCTCCTTAGAGCATTTGTGAGGCCTGATTATTCCTTTCTTGCTTGGGACTCTCCCTGTAACTCCCCTGTGAAGCCGCTCGGGGAGTCAGCAGAGCCCTGTGGATGCTGTGAGCAGGAGGCACCTGCCTCACCTCCTGCTCTGCAGCCAAACCAGCCTGTGGTTACCTGCTCCTGGGACTTGGCTGCCCTCCTCCTGTCTGCACTCAAATCCCCTTGGTATCCCCTTGCCAATAGGAAACACAAGATCAGAAAACTGCTGGGCCGGGCAGGGAGGAAAAAGGCTCACAGATACCTTGTGGGACCTTTCCAGCATCATTTAGGGACAGAGCAGGCCTGTTCCTGTTCGGGGAGATGATGCCTGGTACACGGGGGCACACTGGGCCCTGCTGCTGGCACTGGCCCCAAGAGATGGCTCCGGGAGGAGCAGGGCAGAGAAGCTCATCTTGCTGCAGCATCTCTACCCTGATTAAGGTCAACTTAATTTTTATCTTGTTGCATCTTCTCAACTGGATTTTTCTTCAATTACTCTCAGAATAATTTTCCCTACCCCTTTCCGTGCCACAAACATCCCACCTTCTATCACTTACTTAAAGAGTACAAATATACAATGTATTTCTATGCTGTTCTTCCCCTCTGTTTAAGAAGGGATAGGGCAGTCACTGGACTAGGATGGATGAAGTTTACATTCAGCTCTTGGCTTTGCTAGAGGTTCCCAACATGATTTCAGGAAAAAATATCCTTCGATCTTTCTCTATGCCAGGTTTCCCTCAGTAAAGTAAAATCACAGTTTCCTCCCTGTCCACAGTGCTGGGAGGGTAAAACATTTAATACAAACCTGATGTTTAATTTGCATGAGTATAGGCACTGTAAAAGCTTCTGAACAGAATGATCAGAGCAGAATTTTAGAGATGCTTTACTGTTTAGAAGATGTTTTGAGATCCTTAAGGCTAAGAGAAATAATCAGATACTATAGAAATTTCTTAAAGCAATCTATGCAATTCATGTCATCATGTAGCCTTCACTGACTCTTGTTGGTTAATGCTTGCTGCAGATGTGTATTACAGAAAATCCTAATAAAGCAAGAAAGTGAAAGACACAAACTGTCTCACTAACTAACCACTCTGACTAAAGCAAACTCCACCTTATTTTTCAGTGAGTCACAGTCTGATTTCTGAGTCTTTGATGGATTTCTCATTTTAGCTGAGAGAAGTTCTCTCCACATACCCAAACTTAAGACAAGTCATCACGGAAGAATTCAAAGAGAAATGATAAAACCCGAGTGCAATTGCACTGTATGAGAAAAAACTTTGTTTTTCTTTTTTTTTTTTTAAAGACAAGGCTATAAGCAACCTGACATAATGTCTAAGTTTGTCGTGCTTTAAGTGGTAGTTGGGTGAAGTGACCTTCTGAGCTTCTTTCCAACATAAATTACTCAGTGACTCTAAAACAAGAAAATTGCTTAGTTTGGGGGATTTTTAATCATACAGTGTCCCTGCAAAGTAAAACAAACAATGAATCCTTCATCATCATGCTGGACAGGCCAAGCATGTTTCACACACATACCCTTCCCTGGCACTCTCCAGCGGTGACTGATGGTGATGTGGACTGGCAAGGGCGGAATCGAGGGGATGGTGTCTGGAAGGGATGTCGTGAGGAGGCGGCAGGACGCCCGGTGAGGGACCGTTATGGGTAGCACTGGAACCGCTGTACATACCTGGGAACAAACGAGCAACATTTTGAAACCAAAACAAGCAAAGTAAGGAGTATCTGATCCCCAACAGCCCGACTCCTTCCCTACCCAGTCCTGCTAGCACCACCTGTGGCAGGGGAATAATACTGCCAAGGAGGAACCTCATCCTCTTCTTGTGACATCCCTAAAGTAGCCCATGGAAATCGTTGAGACTTTTCCATATTTTTATATAGGTGAAAGCTACATGGAGCTGGCACTGAGACTAAGAGAGAGAGTGCTCTGGTCTGGAGTGATTCAGCCTCTTTGGTGCTGTGGAGACCTCAAATCTTCCCATCCACAGGCAAAAGGTAAGAGATGGCTGTAGGACAAGCTGCACTAAGTCATTTCCAGGTACATGAGTTTGCAAACACCTCCTCAGTGAACCAATATGTTAGTGAATATGACTGTGCTTGGGATGATGCTTAAAATGATATCAAGATATTTTGGCACTTATGTGTTCTGTCTCCCTGCTGTGCCTGCAGAGCTACCAGCTCTTGTCCTGACAGACTTAGCAGGACTCACTCCCTGCCCTTACCAGACCTTTCCATGAGAATTTGGATGACTTTTTCCTGTTGATGTTCAGCTCAAGTGCTTTAATTCGGGAATGACTGTCAACCAGTGTGGTCCTGGACATCCTTTATCAATTAAAACTTTCACATCTTGATGCAAATAAAAACCCAACAAATTATATGTGAACAGCAGTGATCAGGTATTTTCAATCTGACCAGTAAACCAAAAAGTCTACAAGTGCACAGAGATACTAAAGGAGTGTTGATGCTGTTCCATTTTTTTAGGACTCTCCACTGGCCATGGCAGTCAGGCCCTAGAAGTTTCTGTCATGTCCTTATGCATCTATTCTGCTGAAGAATTATATAAACCCAGGACTGCAGGATTAAGATGCTGGAATTATTCTTTTTTTCTTATAGTTCCATTACAAAAAGTAGGACTGACTCCTACAAAGTGCCGTTCTTAGGATGGTCCTTCTTTTCTCATCTTCTGTGCCCATCTCCTCCTCTTCTAGCAAGCTTGCCTGCAATCCACCTCCCAGAGTTACGGAGCAGCAGGTTCCTCCCAGGGATCCATACACTACCAGGGAGCAGGGCACTCAGCAACATCATCCTCGCAGAGGTGAGGGGGTAAATGAAGTTTGTCACCTCCAGGAGAGCCCAGCTGGAGCACACAAGTTCACTTCCCCGCTGAGGCCTCACGTCCTCCTGCGGCGTTTGCCTTTGGCACCCCCAGAGAGCAGAGCTACACGCTCAGGCAAACAGAGAGCTGAGAGCCAGCTCCGCGTTGCCTCATCTGCGTCACTGCCACGGCTCGGGATGACAGTCTGCCCGAACCCCCTCGGTGACACACGACAGCAGGACGCGCGTGAGCTCTGGGAGCCGCAGGGAATGCACGGCAGGCCTCCGGGAGCGTGAGCCACTGCTCAACGTCAGCATCTGCTTCTGTTTGCCTGAAAAGAAGAACCACTAAGGCACAAGTCCAGCCACCTTTGTCAGGGGCTTCAGATGAGTCAACACCCTCATGAGCAGTGAGTCCTCAGCTGTTGACAGATCTAAAGGAACAGAAAGGAACCGCATCATCCTTTTCTCCTGCTACACAGAACATTTGTCAACCAGCCAGGAAAACCAACTTGCTTTCTGCTCTGAATGCCAGACAGAAGGGGCTTTAAGAAGTCAGATGTGCCCAGGTGACATTAGGATTTATTTGTCAAAGCCTCTTGTGATAATGGTAAGTTAGTAGCTAGAAAGCACTTTATGAGAATGTCACTATTTCTACTGGTGTTTTCAGCCTGTTTTATAATGCAATCATTTCCACTTCCCAAAATCCTTGTTATTCACACATTCACTGGCAGACTTGGAAGATGAGTCAAACACCAGTTGGATCCTGACTACACAGTATCAGCTCACACTTCCCCGGATCTCCTACCACACAAAGTCCAGGTACTTTGGCAATACAACCTGGAGCAAAATGCTGTATCCAAAGAAAAATGTTTTTCTTTCTGACGTACCAGACTATTACTGGCCCTTGTCGACAGTCCAGGTACTTTGGCAATACAATCTGCAGCAAAACGCTGTATCTAAAGAAAAATGTTTTTCTTTCTGTACCAGACTATTACTGGCCCTTGTCGATACCTCACTCCAAAAGCTCAAAGCACTCTAAAGATATAGTTGGAGCAGTGCAGTGGCCACCAAATACATTCAAATATCTTATCTTACAATTCCAGTCCAAAAGAATTCATGAAAGTTTAAAAGGCCATCCTGGGAACTCCCTTACTGTAATGGGCGCTGAGCACAGTTTTGATCCTTGCTTGTGGTGGATGCAGAAGACAGAGATCTCTCCCACGGGTTGTGGAAGCAGAATATCTCACTCTCAGCTCCCATTCAGTTTATCGCTTTTAATTAATTTGTTAAAAAGACAGTGAGAATAAAAAAATCACAATCAGCATGGGAGAAAAGTAAGAAAATGCAGAAAAATGCACCCAAGCACCCATCTATTCCGGAGCATTCGTGTGCTCAAGGCTTGTCAGGGTGGGGAGTCAATATACCAGTGAACTTTCTTTACCACAACACCTCCACTCCAGCCTGGTTTGACGTGTGGTGTCTCCTGTCCCCAAGGCCCCCTGGCCCTCGTTCCACCGTGCGAATCGAGGCCTACACCGCGCCACCTCGCTGCTCACCGGCGCTGCCCGCAATGAGGAGCCAGGCAGTAGGTTTCTTCTTCTACTTGGTGCAAACAAGGGCTGTGACAATACGTAACTACACTGCAGTCCTGCTGTCATTGCTATCGGATACATCTCATCTCCCAGAATGGACTAAGATTTTTTTTTTTCAATACATTTAGAATTTCTCTTACTTTCCACTTTCTTCTTCCTTTTCTCCAGCAGTGAACTATACCACTTTTGGTACACGAGGCACCACAGAAGCCTCTGGAGTTGTTATAAATGACTCCTGTAAGCGCCGCCCAGCTCAGGCCTGTGCACCTCGGGCCTCTTCACGCATTGACCATCTCGGCTTGTAAATACAGGTCATCAATCAATATTTTAAATGGCTTGGCCTTTAACCTTAACATCTGTTGCCAAAACAGCGCTCTGAGCATCTGCGGCTAGCAAGGGCTTTTCTTTCTTTCTTTTTTTTTTTTCTTTTTTTTACAGCTTTATGCCAAGAGAGGCCAGAAAATAACAAAATAGAGAAATGCCTGTGTGGATCTACCTACATGGAGTCACCTCCATTGCAGAGAGTGTGACGTGAATCCTCAGGCATAACTGCAGGGCAGTATGTGCAGTCATGAAGCAGTTCAGCTATTAGCTAGGGGAGGGAGAAAGGAGGAAGATCTAAGCAACCTCCAATGGGTTCCTCCTCTCTAGTGGCAAGACATTCCTTTTGCTCGCTGTCTTAGTCCTAAGCACAAACCTGCTTTGAAGTTGGGCACAAGGGAGGGGAGCTTTTTTAAATATTTCATTTTTGCATGATTGGCTTTCATCCCTGACATGTTTAAAATGTGTTTTAACTTGGAGAAGGACAAAACTGAAACTCTCCAGGAATTCAAGGGATCCCTAAAGCCTGGAGCTCTGCACATTAATAGTGTGGTTTCTTGGAAAACAAAACAAAACAAAATAAAACCAAAAAAAACCACAAAAAAACAAAAACAAAAAACAAAAAACAAAACCCAAATGCCCCAAACCATGAGCATTTTTGTATTTTTTGAGTGTAATCAAAGAGGCATAATATACTGTATTTATCCATGTGGTAGTCTATATAGAGAGTGTTACAGATAATTTGCCTAGAAATACTACCCTTACTTACTTGACAGTACAAACACGATCACTGCAAACTATAGAAAAAAAACAGGAATGTCCTTATGCTTTAACCACATAAGCATCAGCACTTTAGCTTCTGTGCCCTAAGCAATGGCAGAGGAACAGTTTTGCCTGTGGAATTGTACTGTGCGTAATGTGAAACAACTCCTGTTTCCCTGTAAAACAGTCTCTCAAATCTTGATTTATTCCCCCTGGCTCCTTCTCATGCTGTGCATGTGATGGGGTCTCATATGGGGTGACCCCATGGAAGTTTGGGGGAAAATTTACTAGATTTTTTACAACACCCTGGTGAGGATTGATACAACAAAGAAATTAAACTGGAGACAAGCTGGTGTTATTGATAGATACGATCTGTGACTCCACAAGAGGTTCTCCGAACGGACACTGAGAGGACTGGGGTGGCCTGTTTGTCTGTGAGCTAGTAACATTTTCCTGTTTTACTGTCGCCACTTGAAATCCGAGGCTATTCCCAGGTTAGTAACTGGAGCCTGTTGCAAGGGAAATGTCCTGGCTCTTCCCAGTCCTGCGTGGAAGCAGAGGGCCGGGCTTCGGCCATGCCGCAAGGCCCTGGCCTCACGGCAGAGGCCCTGCGGGTGCCTCACAGGTCTGCGGGTGCCTCACAGGTCTGCGGGTGCCGATGCCGGAGCCCTAGGGCTGAAGTGACTCTCCAGGCCCCTCCAGCTTTCTGAGGAACCACAGCGAGCACGGACTGCCAGCACCACCATGTCAGCTGTTGGGTTATATCCCTCTCCCTCCAGATCCCATTCATTGGCTAAAATGCTACGTTTTAGTATAATATAATGGGAATTGGGGATGGATGAACTTTCGTTTGTTTATTTAAGGTTTATAGTGAGGAAAAAAAAAAGGCAGGATATTCTTACTTTAGTGATTTACTCTTATCAAGTAAAATATATCAATAACAGGGCACCAGCTCTCTTCTTGGTGCAGGGGAACTGGGCCCAGACAGTCTTGTATTCTAATCCCATTTCACCGTGGGTTTTCTCTAAGCCTCAGCAGAAACAAGCTAGGGTTTGTCTGGAAGGCTTGTGCTGAGTTACTAAATCAATATAAGAACATATTTAGCAGTAGCAAGGCAAACCTCTTCTTTAGTGGAACTGAAATAGGATCAAGTGCAACTCAAATCAAGACAGATTAACTTGGCTTTAAGCTAAATCATTTTAAGAATGATTTGGGATTTTAATATCACTGAAAGTTTTCTAAATAAAGACCAAGTTTAAAAGTAGCTTTTTCTCTTCGGACAAAATGTTCAGACAAATGTATTATATGACACATTTAGCACCACACGTATTAGAAATATTCTTACCTGTAATTAAATCATGATGACCTACAGATCTACTGCATTTCCCATCCAAAATGTGCTGTGAAGATGTGTGGAGCTGTTGTATAGCCAAGCATTCACTTAGTACATCTTGTTCAATATCAGTACATGAATTCAGCTATAAGAGGAGGATAAAACAAACATTTTATTTCAAAGTAAACCAAATTACCTTTAATTAAATTCATGTGGCTTGTTTGCTTAAAGATTATGTGTAGAAGGAAGGAACAAAATGTCATTCTTAGGAGCTTAGTGTAATTAAGGATATATCTATTACTTGGTATTTCTAATTAGAGATAATTTTGGTTTTCTTAAGCACCCAAGTTAAGTGTGCTAATCTTAAATCAACAACAGTTTGCTTCAGAAAATAATGTACCCTGTGTTTCTTCAAACCGTACTGAGCAATTTATCTGCATATTTTTAGGCTTTCAGTAGTTCCTTGGGTTCTGTGGCAAAAGGATTGCATCATGTTGTAACTGTGACACTTGGAAAGACATTTGATAGGGAAGGAAAAGCATTTGTGCTTATCAGATTAGAACTGGTGGAATAATGTGCTGTCAGTAATGTGTAAGAGGTATCACTGATATGTCAGCTGTTCCCCATGTAAATTAAAGTGCTGGCAAAAGTGTGTGAAGCAAACTCTTGAAAACCGCAATGTCGATCATATTAAAAACAGCAGGAGAGGAGAATTAAGAAAGAAAAGCATTTCTAATTCTCTTTCAAACATGCTGATGTTGCCAAGCTTTTGTCATAATAGAGAGCTCACATTACACAAACAGCTATCATATTCTATAGCCATTAATAAATAGTTATTGTCTTGAAGTTTACAGTTTTGCATACCAATCTCCCCTGGGTTTGGTTACTCTAAATAAAAGGTCCAGGCAAACCTATTTAGAATTCTGCTATACAGCCATTTGTTTGTTCAAGATAAACATCTAACATTTGGATCTCAAAGTGCATCTGCAGCCAATTAAACTTAAACTACTACTAAATTAACAGCTAACTTTCTCATATTTTGTTTTTGTAAAGCCTTTGGGAACAACCAAATATTACCACTGCAGGCTTCTTATAAGGTACGAACTATTCAGGGCTCTTTTGATGCAAGTCTCAGCTCAGAGCATTTTATTTTATATCAAAGATGGCACATTTTGGTAGCATGTCCCAGCTGAGCCATGTGGGTACAGCAGCCTGCTAATTTTTCTTTCTTGGCTAAGCCACTTCCACTCAGAACTCCAGGGAAGCTGATACCAAGAGACGGCTCCTGCTCAGAGTCATAACCAAAAATGACCAAGCAAATGTAAACAGTCTATCCCCCTTTTTCCTAAATCTGAAAGTCAAAGTAGACTGTTGCTGTTTCAATAACACTGACTTTTACTTAGTTGTGAAAGGGTTTTTCTTCTCCTGTAATATGTTTAAGTGAAATATTTGTTTTGTTTATTATTTCTTTATGAATCAGATTCGTTTTGGTGGCTTTTAACAGTGACTGATCAAAATGCACTTTAAATCTCCTGCTCTTTTTTTAGAGGCCTAGTAGGTTAAAGTGAAAAAGACACAGGATCAAATATTTATCAGCTTATCATGCATAAATGAGACAGGAAATCTGAAGATGATTTCTAACCACTGGAGGAGAGCAGATTTAGAATGGGCTACCAAATAAGTGTGGGAGGCAAAAAAACAACATTATTTTAAGATGGACTTGATAAGTCTATGCAAGAGTTTGTATATGTTAGTAGGAAAATTCCTGAACCTATGAGATTAAGAGATATGAAGTCTGGATATTTGATGTCTTGGTATATCCAAGCAGCTCAAGCTTGTGACTTGTATGTGCTGCATTCACCCTGTATTGATTCTATGACTCAGGCCTCCCGCTGGTTATCCAGGAATTACTTTTTGCCCCTTAATACCTGTTTGGATTTAGTTTTTTTTTTTTCCCATCTTCCAATGGAAAACTGGAATTTGGAGCTGGGTATCTCAGCTGGAGATAGGGCACTGAGGACTACTTCTTTGTCCAGACCCAAAGTATGACAGGTGAATATACTGAGATCCATGTTTGGTGTTAGGAAGTAAATCTCTCCTTCCTTCCCCCAAGAGATGTATCAGCAACCACAGGAAAACAGGATAGGGGTTCTCTCCTTTGGAATGGAGCAGGGTTGCTCTTGAGGATCAACTGAGAATTTCATGTAATGAAATCCTGCCTGTCACAAAGATATGATGAAAGCCACTAGCGATACAGCCAACCTCTTCCTGGCTTTTGGTCTCACTCCCAGTTAAACCTTGGCTCTTGGGAAGTGCTTCATACCGTGTGGTGTGCGAGGGATGTGCAGGACATTTGGTGGAACCCCCTAATGTGCTACTTCTAATGTACTAAACTGCTAAAGGACCCGCATTACCTGACACCCGTGCTACTTCTAAAGTGCTAAAGGACCCGCATTACCTGACACCAAACTGGACTGGCAGACAAGGTGATCCCTTCCAGTGCTGTGTTGCTAAATAGAAGTTCTGCCTGAATTTGCTAGCTGCATAAACAACATATTTGATCCTGTGGACATTTGGATGTGTGCTAGGCATGGGCAGGCACAGGGATAAGCACGCAGTGAGTGTTTCTTGACCTCATCTCCAACAGCATGTACAACTTTGGTCACTGATGTTCTAGAAACAGCTACCCAGCCTGCAGCTAGTGCAGAGGAGAGTTATAGGCAGACTGGGAGATGGACAACCCGTCCTGCAAAGGAGACCAGAAGTGAAAATGATGAATCTAACCAAGCTGAGACTGGCAGGGGATATAACACATGCTGATAAGCAGCAAGAGGGGAGCAGTACAAGACAGAGGGCCTGGATGAACTCAGTGTGAATCAGTATGAACTCATCACAGATCTATTCAGGCAGGAAATTCAGGCCTTCTTGACACCCATCTTCTTCCTCCATGGCCCACCTCAAATTCTGCAGCTAAGACCATCCCTGTTCTGCTCGTGCCTCCTTTCTCCATGCTCTCCAGGGCTTCTAGCGCTTACCTTGGACATTTTTCCAAACTAGCTGCTCCCTAGCTCTATCTGGCCATGCTGTCCTTTCTGCTCTGTCCTCCATCCTTTCAACATGCCTTGCTGTCTCATCTGTGATGCTCTCGGCAGGGCCAAGGTGGCTGGGGGAAGACACCATTGCTGCTTATTGAACTGCTTGCTACAGCTAGGACTCCCTTTCCTTCCTGGGCCTCATGTATGTACACGGTCTGGCCTGTCACACACCAGTTTTGTGAAGTCTTCGCTATATTTTTACATACTGTGTGTCAAAATGAGCAATAAAAAAGACTTTAACCCTGGGCTAGTGCCTTTAAGGAACCCCATTTAATAAAGAGTTCAAGTTTCAGCCCATAAGAGCCTTTTCAAAATACTTATTTGGATCTAGTATTAGTGACACATAATTAACAATCTGTTTGGAAAGATTTAGAAACGCATTTTAAAAACAACTATAGTAATCCAGATAGAAGTGGGAGATTTTATTTTTACTTATTAAAAATCAAAATTTCCATACTATTCTTAACTTTCTTTCTGTTTTAAATGGTCTGCTACCATGTATTTACTACGCGAATAGAGATGCTAAATGTATGGACGTGTGAATGACAGCAGTATGTGGGTATAAAGACAAACAAGACAGAAATGCTTGGAGTAAAAGCTTGGGGCGTAGTGAAATTACACCGTGGCAGCATTAAAAGCAGAAAAATACGAAGTGAGCTGGGTAACAAATGGGACCAAAATCCTACAGGAAAACTAACTCGACTTTTCTTTTAGCAGCACCTCAAAGAAAACGATTTCAAAATATATAAACTAACAGTAAATTTAAAACAAGCACATTGAGGAGATGTGGTGACGTGTCACCCTGCCTCGTGGCTCTTACCTTCTTACGCACCTGCTGTTCTTTGGCTGAATGAGCTTTCACGTGTTTGCGCAGCGAGCTGGGGTCGGTGTAGCGCTTGGAGCAGCCAGGGATCTGACAGGCGTACGGTTTCTGCAAAGGTGGGGACAGGGAAAAGATTGTGTCTTCACCTGCACCTCCTCTCCTACCCGAAGGCTGCCCCGAGCCACGGGCGCGCTGAAGGACGGTCATTTCTGTGGGACGTGGTGCTAAGCCTGAGCTCTTTGCTCTGCTCGCTGCTTCCAGGCTTGCAAGCCCCTGTCTGTGCACACAAGTGAGACACGGTGCAAACGCAACAGCAGCGCCCACAGCTCTGGTTTTGCTCTCCATGCAGGTGCTGAGAGCAACTGGCACCTCTGGTGCTTTGGGGCACTGATTACTGGGCTGAATGAAATGCTAATGAAATGCAATTAGATGGGTTTTGAGAACACCTTTTTTTCTAGCATTTACAGTAATATAAAATGATTCTGAGATCACTCAGCACAAATATTTGGTTTCTAATGTAAACAGAAAATATTTGGTTTCTAATTCTGATTCTATTTGGATTTTAATTCTGATTTACCACTTGTTTTACAAAAACTCTGTTCCATATGCAGCAAAGCAAAACTTGAAGCATCGAACATATTTGGTGTCCTTCGTATCTTGTTCCTGTTTTAAATAATAAAAACAACGCCCTTCTTTTTGCAACTCCTAACCAAACAAACTGCATCAAACTAACATCCAAGTAAATCAATACAAGCCAAAAAAATATGCAGTATTGCTGGTCTTGTTGGGGAGACCTGTCCAGCTGCTTTTGGTGTCCATCAGATTTATTAAATAACCATTGACTCAAATGATAACAACATAGTGACGCACATCAAACCTCTCTAAGTCTTAAAGCGGAGCCATATGTTTCTTTGTCTCTTTTTTTCTTGCCTCTAATCTGCCAACATTATCTTGGCCTTCTCACTTGGACCAATAAGTGTCTGTGGTGCCTTCATGTAGCTAGAAAACTTGTTTGTCAAGACCTCAGTGTCACTTTTTCTCAGCCCCTTTGGTTTCAGAAAGAGCAAAAAAAAATCACCAGTGTTGGGAGAAGTGACTGTGAGGCCCTTTACACGGGTGGCTCTGCCCTGCAGGAGTGATGATGTGCCCTTTATGCTGCAAGGACAGATACCTTCCGCTTGCTCTGCTTTTCCCTAGGAGAAAGGCCTATTTCCAGATGATTTAGTGGAGATCTGATCAAACTAGCAAACACTGTAGGTCTCTGAAATTATTTACAGATTCTGCTTTTGGAGAAGATAAACGATGGACTGACCTACCTAAGGAATCCTTAAAACCAATTCCAAATGCACTCGATAAGAAACAAGCCGTGCGTATAAACCCCTTTTCTTTGTAAGCACCTCCAGAGGATACGTATTGCTGCTCTGTCCAGCCAGCAGGAAATTTCTAAGGAATAATAGAATCATTCACCAATTCAGGGCCTTGCCGGCTAGCGCAGCAGCTACCCAGCAAGTTACAGGGCAAGGCAGATTTATGGAGAGTGTCTGGAACACACAGAGACCTGACACCTGAGGAAAGATCATGGAAACCATAAAGAAACCCTTTAGCAGACAAACTGGCAGATCACTTTTCTCGTCATCGGTAGCCCTAATTATAGGGGAACTAGAGGAAAATCCACCTCCCCTTGGAAAGGTTCATGGCTGCTTGCTTTGACTTTCCAGGCAGTTATCTTGTTCTTTGAGCTGGTGCAAAATCCAGTCTCCACTGTAACACCGTCCTGTAGTTCCTTGTTATTTTTTGCATCCACATTTTAAAGCACACAATAGACTCACTGAGACCGTGGGTCTATAATTAAACAGGTTAAGTGGAAGCCAGTTACTATGGTGTGGTGCTACAGAAACAGTTTTAAACTACCTGCAACAAAATAGCATGGATGATATTTTTAGACATTTTAGAAAGTTAGTAGAAAATGATTACTGTACCTTTTTGCTGATTTATGAGCATTTCAGATATTAAAGACAGAGAGAAAAGAAGAAGAAAAAAGAACAGAAAGTTAAGAGATTTGTTTTCAATAATGCACAGATCAACAGATATAAGATTTTTTGCTTACTTTGTTAAACAATTTGAATTATCTTTCAAAAAGTCTAATAAATGGCATTCCATCTGTGAATCTGGCTTATAAAAATATCTATTAGATTCAAGCAGTTAAATTTCAAAACTGTGCACACAATTTAGTACATTCAGTTTCAAGAGAGATGCATTTTAGAACTAATTACAAATTCAAATATCTCAGGTTGACTTTCAAATAAATAAAACATTGTTATTGTAAGTGTGCCTTGGTTTGGAAAATGTGACTGACTTGCTTCTCTTACTTGTTTGTTTTTGCAAGGCATAATGTACATTAGACATTCCTTAATGCTGCACTGTCTGAAATGTGTAACTGCTTAAAAAGTAAATATCAATTAAACTCAAAAGTTCTGCCCCATAAACATTTGGCCAAACATTAAGCCATATATATTCATTTCTTTGAAAAAGACAAAGGAACAACTCTGGCTGTTATTCTTTACAAGCTTTATGCTGAGGACTTAACAGGTCTACACAGTCGTCTACTTGCTTTCTTTCCTTGTAACATGGTGACTTAATTTCATCACAGCCTAACACACTAGAGAGGCTCCCATCTTCTCTGAGTGTCAAGTAAAAAGACTTAAGGAGTTGAGCCAGAATCTGCCAGCTATATGAAATGAATATAAGAAATGAATTTGGTTCATTTTTTACAGTTATTTCTGATGATGGGTACTTAATGAATTACACAGTAATAACACAGATGTATTTCTACCTTTACAGAATTGCATCCAGACTGAGAGGCGTTCACCTTCCACTGAGATGTCTGAACTGTTTTTCGTTCACATCAGACCCTACCGAAGCAACACATGGTAGGAAACGAGACGATGACATATTTAGTAGAGCAGCAATGACTCTGCTTTCACTCACACTATGCCTCATTCTCCAGGTACCTCCTCTCACTGCCCTGGTTACGATGGGAGACTTGGTGAGTAACTAAGTCCTGAGCAAGTTATTCCTCAGCATGAGCAAGACAGTGGAATGGGCTTTTCAAGCCTTTTTTCATTTCTCAAAGCACACACAACTGAAAATAAAGTACGGTTGCTTACGGCTGCCTTTTCTGAGACCTCCTCATGGAAAGGCAAAGTCCTACTCCGGTGTGAGCACCGATCATGCACAAGGACCACTGAAAAAGCTCAGTGCACCTCCCAGTATGAAATCATGCTTACAGTATCCAGGTGTGTTCGCTGGTGCTTTGCCCGGTCGCTGGAGTTGCTGAAAGCTTTCTGGCAGCCGGGATGCTGACACAGATATGGCTTCTCCCCGGTGTGACTCCGGAGGTGAATCTTAAGGTTCTCAAGCCTAGAAAACGCCTTGTTGCACCCTTCAAACTGAAAAAAGCCATAAAAAATCGTTGTAAAGCACTACTACATAAACCATGTGCAGCCACAATGAGAACAGTGTAAGATCCAAGTTGGACATGTAATAAATCAACCAACATTCAGACATCCGTTGAAATTTATGGACAAAATACAACATTTTGTGCTGTTCATTTAATCTGTCACTGAAGACATGGTGTGTAGCTCAATAATACATGGGTTATAAATATCTCACACGTTCTGTCTGAAGTACCGAGCAGTTAAAGGAATGGTGTCAGTAAAGTGAATTTAAAGCAAGAACAAGTGTTCTGATGAGTCCTCCTAGGTTTTAACTGGTGCAAGAACCGCTGTGGGCTGTAACGATGAGCTGCTGGAGATGCCACAAGAGGCTATTTGTGGCAGGGAAGAGGCTGGTTTCAGGTGGCTGAAACACTATACAGTGGAGCAGATGAACACGGACCGTTACAAGGAGACCGGATCCATCTCAAGATCAATCCAAGGGAACTCTGCTGCTGTCCTGCACCCTCTTCTTCACTAGCCAGATCTTGCAGGTCTGTTCTCAGCTTTTATAGACCCAGTAGCTTGAGCAATTCTGACTGCTTAAGCATTTGTTTAATTAAGAAACTTCACGACTACAATGCTGTAAAGCACTCATAAGTAACTGTTTCAAATCAAATTAGAATAAATAAATAATGAAAAGTGGCCGCTATCAATCCAAGTTTCAGTGTTACAGACAGTAGCTGACCGCAGAGGCAGTACTGCCTCCAGGAGGGACTTGGGAAACTAACCCAGAGAAGCACAAACACAGGCATGCACGGGAGCAGGATATATTCAGGTCTACATGCATGGACAACTACCTGGTATACAGCAAGATTTTCATCTTTTGCTATTGCAACAGTCATGAAAGCTCTGCAGAGTCATCTGCAGACATATGCAACCTGTGACTTCCAAAGTTCAGTTAGTCTGGACTTCCTTTACAGCATGTGAGCTGTTAAAGGAGGTAGGGGAGATTCCAAAGTGGCCAGGTCACCAAGGTTTAAAAAGAAAAAAAAAATTCTCTGCAATCATCACTAAAAATTTGGAGAGCACTCAGAACGAAGCAGTCTGAAATGTGCAGATATGCTAATTCCATGACAAATAAAGCAGTGTTTGGAAAGCCCATGGCTCTCATCACACATCCTATAAAGCCAGTATCTGGCAAACACAGCAAAGGTTTTGAGGTCCTAAATATTGACTGGTTTACGATTGTTCCTATTCCTACCTTTTCTACTCCTACCTTTCTTCAGTCTCCTCTGGTTGCAGCCTTATATTTGCCTTTTTGTAACTTCCCCCTTCAAACCGTTATCCTTTTATTTCCAACTCAAGAGTCAGCTCTTCCAAAGCTTTACGCACTGACATAGGACCAGATGGTAACATAACCAGATCCCAAGTGTGCAAAGCTGTAGGAATAAAAGGAAAAATAATAATGCTGATTGCTTGATGGATAAAAGGATTTTCTGAGGCCAACCATTAGAGGTTAACAAGGAACACTTGGTGAGATATAAGCAGCACGTGGGAAGGTGGTGGTAAAGGTAGAGAGGTGAGGATATAAGGATCACCTGGGAAGACCCCTAGGAGAAGGTAGAGGAATCCTGGATGGAGCAGAGGCTGTGGGGGCCTCTAGGCTGTTGCCTGCTCATCTCACTGGTTTCCCACACAAAGCTACTTTGCAGCTCAGCTCTGCAGTCACAAGTGAATCACAAGTGAGCATCATCATCAAGCTGTTCTGTTCCGTTGCTGATGCTCTTCCATTTTTGTGACCCTAGCAGCAGTCTCTTCCACAGACCACCCTCCCCTCTCTAAAGAGACCTATTCATCTGACATACGGCCATCAAAAATCTATCCCAGAAGGATATTATAAAACAAAGTTCCCCATCAGGGGGCCCTTGGAACATCGATGTTCTGTAGGCACCAGCATCACTGCAGTGACACACCACAACCTCATCTTCCTTGTCTCCCTGTTGGCTCAGAACTGGAAAGCCCCTTCAGATCACAAAAGTCTGTTCACAGCTATTCAGTCACGAATGCAGGAATTCTGACTCTCAGATTGTTTTTCTAATGGATTATCAGTCTTCAGCTCTGGTATCTATGGACCAGTGTGAAGTAGAAAAATATGCACAACAATCCAAACTAATTGAAGGTACAGCTCCATTCCCATTGATGTCAGTAGTAGAAATTCCAATGGTAAATGTCCTAAAAAACCTAAAGACAGGCTTCAACATACGAAAACACATGTTTAGGACTTCTGCTGGATCAGCATTTCAGGAAAGAAGAAACAGATCCTACCATGAATGCTCAGAGCTACAATGTAAGCAGCAACACTCAAACAAATATGGGTTTATTATACTTTTATTGTGGCCAAGAGCCGCCTTCTTGGTGTTAATGCATCATCCAAAAGCCTAACACCATTGGCAGCAAGACTTCACTGCATATGCCTGGACTCTAAGGGCTTTTGTTATTTATCATGTTTTCTATAGTAGGGGCCTAAACATAAGCCAAAACCAGAGCTCCACTACAGTGGATAATATATAGTGGGATGGTCCCAAACCTGGGATAAATTCAGTCTAAACAGGTGAGGTGGGAGAACACAACAGCAAAAAGAAGGATATGGCTGCAACTCATATATTTTTGAGGACGTTGAATTGCTAAAGGCAGGATTAGCTATGGCTAAATAGCAAGAAGATGACTGGAAAAGGAGTAGGGATGAGAACCTGGCTGCAAGGTAACTTCACCTGGGCCTCTGTGGATATCGCTCTAGGATGAGATAATCAAGGTAACTCCTGGACTACTGATCCACTACTGAATAACGTTGGTATCCCTGCCCACCACCCCTGCAGATACATACACCACATAAAACCATCCCTGGAGAAATGCGGTGCTTTTTCTCCCTTCAAATGACTGCTAGGAAGAGCCATCAACCCAAGCAGTGTCTCAGCTTCAACTACGAAGAACAAATGCTCAATTTCCAAAGGCTTCAGGATGGAAAAAGCTATTTGATCAACTAAGAAGGCTTCCTACAGTGTCTCCCAGGCATCTGGCCTCAATCTCTCAATGCTTGATCCTACAACGTTAGATATTTTGCTGGGATAACCGTAACAAATGCTGCATAATCCTCAAATTCTGTAAAAGTCACCAAACTTTTAAACAAGTTTATCAAAAGCAATACTCATACTGCAATAGCACTTTTGTCTTTTTTTCCGAGATGGGTAACGGGTGCTTCCAGCACTGCCATCCTGCACACACCTGAGCGCAAACACAAAACAACGTCACAGGATTACAGTAAACAGCATGACACAATTATCTGATTTTATAACTAATGCTGCTTTTATAATAAAGCTTCCATGGGGAAAAATGTGCCTTAGAACTTGGGGCTAAATTAGCCCACTACCATATGGAAATATGTATATTATCTTTATTTCAAGCCACAGTCTCACCGCAGTGTGACTGCAAGAATATCATGTATGTAAAAGGCATATTTATGAAAACATTAAAGTATCTCTCAGTGATCTAAACACATCATAATTTTCTTAAGAAAACAATTTAATCTAATAACTGTAATTGCTTAAAATGTTTTTCTTTGCTTCCACTTTATACTCTGGATGCACCTGAGAATGCTGCCGCGCAGAAATAGCGACATATTCCCAAGAGAGTCTATATTATCAAATTTTTGCCATTTTTATAAACTCATTTAATCACAGCCATGTCTAGAATATCTGTCAGTGGTACAGATCAGAAGAAATAAACTGTAAACTAAACAGCTCAGACCATAAGGTGAAGCAATAACTGACATTTTCTTAGGAAATGAGTTATGACTGAAAAAGAGAAGCCTTCACAGTTGTAGTGCTAAATAGGTCCAGTGTGCCATTAGAGAAAGCTCATTAATATACACCTCTGCTCTCTGCTGCGAGATCAGTTAAACAAGCTGCCTTTTATTTATGGGCTTAAAAGGGAAAGAGCGGGTCATATTGGCTGCTGACATTTCAGACAGCCTACAGATGGAAAACCCCAAACATTTCATTCCAAAGCAGTTAATACTATCAATAGGAAACCTGATGTCTCGTCAAAACATCTACAAGCCTTCTGAACGCTGTCAAATGGTCTTTCTTCCCCATTGATTGCAAAATTGGGAGAATTTTATTGAAAAACACATTAGGGGGAAAAAATGAAAGTATCCACGGGGAAAGTATCCCCTTCTGGAAGGGAGGAAATCAGCACGTGAATCATTGAGGATTGAGAGCACCCTGCGCCCAGCGTTGGGGACATGGCAGGAGGTGCACAGGGCTCCAAGCTGTAGGGAAGGTAATTCCAAGCACGTGAGTCCCCCCACTGAACGCAAGAAACAAAAATGTTTGTTCTGGTGCTTTGTTCCTTTTCTAGCTAACTGCTGATTGGATTAATTTCAAATTCTTTGCGGCAGCAGCGATGGAAAGCCCTGATCCTGCAAATACTCGCGCGTGAGTAACATGACTCGTGCAAGGAATTTTATTAAACTCAACAGGACTCTTTGTGTGCGTAAAAAGTAGCCCACAGGAGCGAGCTCTCAACCTCCCCAGATCCCACTTCATATAGCAAATTTACAGATTCAAGTTGGCAGAGGCTGTTTTTTTCTCCCCTTGTAGCCCCATAAGGATGGCAGATACCTGCAACCCACAAAGGGCGGCCAATTTCCATGTTATTTTGTGAAGCTTTGAGCAATTTGTATTTGCACAGTGGCACCTCTACACAATATTTCATTTGAGTCCTAAGAGTATTGCTTGTATTTGTTTTATTATGTGTATTGTAAAAGAGCATTTAGGGCCTCAGGCAAATTACTGTGCAGTTGTTGGTTATAGGAAAAGAAAAGGTGAAGTGGTTGGGGACGGGAAAAACAAAAATCTGGGAAAAGCAGATGAAGTATAAATGCAAAGGATGTTCTGTTTTGTTGTGTTTCAGGGCAATTAGAGCCAGACACTTGATCTCAACACCCTGCAGACTGGGAGCCCACTTTCCTTATGCAATTCAGCTGCACATTTCCTAATTTACACAAAACTGGGCAAGACGAATACCCTGAAAATCCTGAAAGAGGTGTTCGATTGGCATCCGCCGCTGAATTCGACCCGCGCTGGCAGGGTCCGGCCCTCTCCCCTAATGGAGGAGGGAGAACGGGCTCCGTGTCGGGGCCTGCCTGCTAAGCCCAGTTTTGCTGATGATCCCGAGGGGGTTTTGCTGCCAATCCTGGGCACCGCGGGCGCGTGGCCACGTCCTTGCCGTGGCGCGGGGCAGAGCAGCAGCTCCCCCGGATCCTCCATCCCAGCCCGTGTCCGCGGAGCACCAGTGTGTTGGGGCTCTCGAGAGCCTCGCTCACGTCACTGCAAATCTCCCTCTGTCAGGAAACGGGGGGAACGTTGTTCTGAACCTTGAACTACTTCTAGATTTATTTCCTTTAGTACCAGAAGGTCACATATCAGGCACGTCCGTGAGCTGACAGAGCTTTCCGTACGCTTTCCAGCAAAATCCCAAATATCTGGGAAAATATGAAAGCTTCCTGGCATTTTCACAAGATCTCGTAGCTGGTCTCTAGTCAGGTAGGTGGATAAACATTTGTCAGAAGAAGGGTTGCATGCATTAATTTGCTGCAAAGTACGGGAATGAAACAGGGAATCTGGGGATATCTTACTATCAGCAGCATGACAGCCACAAATTTTGCCATAAGGTTTTGCTAAATATGTCATTTGGAAACCAAACAATTTTCTGAAACCTCATTACAGTTGGACTGAATGCAGTATTATGGCTCGCAGGCAAAAAAAAACACTGCATGGAGCAACATTTTTAAAAAAATAGCACGTAAAATTCATATGCTCATGTAAAAAGCCAAGAAGACAGC